GTATGGGGTTGGGGCGAGGAGAGCCAGACCACAAGGGGCATCCCCATCGCGCCCAAGGGGGGCTGGGGAAACCCTGAGCAGGGCCACTGCTTCCCAGCCAAATGGGAGCACCTGCCTGGGCCCATCCAGCCGGCCGTGCCCCTGGGCAGCCATCGGCACTGCCGAAGCTGGCAGGGTTGGGCAGGAGGGAAAGGTGAGCTGTGGGGTGCACACGGGAGCCCTGTAATCATTAACCACACCTGGCTCAGGCCCAGGGCCTGTAGGGTGGTAGGAAAAAGCAGGAGTAACCACAGGGTATTTACCTTTATAGCTCCAGTGACCCTGGCCAGGACCTTGAAAAGGAAAAGGGGAAAAAAAAAGGAGTGTGAGTAGAAGGGAAAGGCTGGCAGCATGCACAGCTCCCCGGGCAGCACTCCTGGCCCGGGTGTGGGTCCCCAGGCTCCCACCACACTTGGATCCCCCCCTGCCTCCACCGTGGCAAGCGGGATGCTCCCGGAGGGCTCTGCCTCCGGCCGAAAGGGTCAAGGTCCCCAGGGCAAGGCCAGGTCTCCCGCGCATGTCATGCAGGGGGAAAGCTGGGACTTGGCCATTTGTTATCATCGTTACGACAGTAAAAATCACAGATAGTGGCTTCCGTCATTGAGAAGTGGCACAAATGCTCTTCCAGCTACTCTAGAGCAGCCACAGCCCCCCGCCGTCCCAAGAAAAAGCATTTAGCAAGGCAGGTCTGCAGTTTTCCTCATCAGGAAAACAGCCACCAAAACCACGTCTTACTCAAGAGCAAATACCACTAGCCATTGGGGCAGGCTCCCAGTGGAAGAAGTGCCAGACTAAACACCTTTCCGAGCGTCCCAGGCCCAGCTCCTGTCCCAGCAGGCCCTTATGGCCCCCCCAACCTGTCCACACTACCCAAACTCCCATGGAGAGGTGCGTAAGAGTCCTGCCACAGGCAAACCCTTTCCCTAGGAAGGGCAGGGGAAGGACAGGGGCCCATGCTAGGACCTCTCCAAGCCCCACATCACGGGCAGCCCATTGGGAGCGCTGCAGCCATGGCACAGCGGCACATCCCCTGGCCCAGGACACGTCAGCATGCCCCATGGGCTTTCCCCAGCAGCTGCCTGGCCTCTCAGCAGGAGATGGACACTTCTCCTCCAGGTTGAGGCTAGGAGCAAGCAGAGAGCTCCAGGCAGGAGGGACATGGGCTCAGATTTGTCCCGAGGCCAAAAGACCCCATTAAGGACCATGCCCCTGCCCAGGCTGGCACAGCTCAAGGGTTCCTCCTCTTCCTACCAGCGTGCTGACCGTGGGTGCAGCATTGGTGCACACAGGCTGTTGGCATACCTCAGCTAGTGAGGGTGCTGGGGTGGGCAGAGGGGCGCGATGGACCCGGGACGAGATGGGGAGCACACCCTGAGCTCACCTAGCAGCAAGGGGCAGGTTGGGTGCCACAGCTTGGGGCAGCACCCATGCCCCTTTCCCATCAGTTCCCAAGGGTGCAAGGACGCAAGGGAGCATTTAGCAGCACGGTCCAGCCATGAGGCCAGCACCAAGACTGTCTCCCTGCCTCAGCGAGGCGAACACCCGCTGGCCGGGCCGGCATGCAGGAGGGGCAGGCGCAGCTCCAGCCCCAGCACCGCTGCTGACAACAGCTATTGACAGTCACTCGCTATTAATAGGAGTGGATTCCAGCTCACGGGTGAGAAAGGAAGAGGCACATTTTCCCAGGCCCAGACGTCTGACATAAGGCCCCAAACACAGTGGGAGCCTGCCCTCCTCTCTCCAATGCAGATCCAGGCGTGCACCAAAGATGCTACTACTGTCCGTCATGGTCAGCCTGAGAGCCCAGGTCCGATGAAGGCAGCCCATGTGCAGAAGCCCAGCTTTCCTGCTCCTGATCCGCTGTCTCCAGGAAGAAAATCACTCCACAGACATCCCTCCCAGTATTTCCCTAGGAGGCCAGGGCTGAGGGTGCCCAGCAAAAGCACGAGGGAGAAGCATGTGAACTTTGGAAACATGCCACATCTCCTGTGGCAGGGAGGATGCCTGCACTCCACGCTTCTCTGTGGCAGGCAGTGCCAGCTCCCGTCCTGGCATGGAGCACCAGGCAAGAAGCTGTGGCATTACGGATGCCACGGCCAGAGCCGCAAGAAAGGTCAGAGCAGGCTGTGAGCTCCCAGGCTGCCTCTCAGCTGCCTCTCAGAGTGGCTTGGAGGAGGGTGGCAGCTCTGCCAGGCTCTGCAAAGGCACATGCACTGCACGGTGCTGGCAGGAGGGTAAAGAGGAAAGAAAAGGGGTGCAAGGATCCTCCACCGATAGCAGTCATGGACAGGACTATTCAGCCTGGAGAAGAGAAGACTGAGAGGCGATCTCATCAACGGGTACAAGTATCTGAAGGGGGAGTGTCAAGAGGATGAGCCCAGCCTCTTCTCCGTGGTGCCCAGCTACAGGACAAGAGGCAACGGGCAGAAACTGAACCACAGGAAGTTCCATCTGAACCTGAGAAAAAACTTCTTCCCTGTGAGGGTGACAGAGCATTGGAACAGGTTGCCCAGAGAGGTGGTGGAGTCTCCTTCGCTGGAGATATTCAAAACCCGTCTGGATGTGATCCTGGGCAATATGCTCTAGGTGACCCTGCTTGAGCAGGGAGGTTGGACTAGATGATGTCCAGAGGTCCAAGCTAAACGATTCTGTGATTCTGTGACTAGGACCCTCAAGATATGCCCTGGCAGCTTTCCTCTCTTGCAGCACGGGGATGTGGCATCTCAGAGGGGTATTCAGGTCAGGCCTGGGAACGGTGACCCGACAGCCCGCAGTCGACGCACATCCTGCCGCAGCACCCCGTTTCTGCTCAGCTCCAGGGACTCTGCCTACACTGCAAGTGGCTCAAAGCTCAGGTCATAGATGGGGCGATAGCACGGTGCTGGCACCTCCCTGCTCCACCAGCCTCCTACCACCCATGTGAATAACCTCAAGGCTGCAGCTGCACCAAGGAGTCTGATCCATCCCAGTTCAGCCAGAACAAGTTCTCCCGGGGGTCTCCCAGCAACCAGAGCAAAAAGTACCCAGAAGCACTCATCCATGCACCGAGGCCAGCCAAATTAGTTTCCCTGATCCCACAGATTTGGGCACAGCTACAGCAGCAGCAGCAGCCAGGCCACCCACGCCAGCGAACATCTCACAGGCCCAGGTGCACAGGGCTGGGCCCCTCGGCATGTGCGCCGAGCGCTGCCAGGAGGCGTCGCAGCCGATGCCCGCTCAGCATCGGGCACGCTGCAATGCTCCAGTCCCTTCCACGTGGGGGCATTCGCAATCTCACAGCCCTTCGTGCCATGAACATTAACCCATTGCCCTGCCCAAATGTCTATTTGCATAATTACAGCCTACCTCCCACACTCCCCAGCTGAGCACAGTCTTCCCCCTCTGAAAGCTGCCAGACACCAGTTCTCCTTGCTACTAAACCGCTGCCATTTACCACAACAGAGGTGGCTGCATTTCAGCAGCGGGTGATGCAGCGCCGCGCGCCCTGCCCTACCTGCCAGCGCTGACAGCCCGGGCAGGCGCTGTAAAGCGCTGCAAGAAACCTGGGGGAAAAACCCAGCCGCTGCCCACCACCTGGATGAGCGCGCTGGGAGGTAACGCGCAAGGAGAGGGCTCGCGGGGGGCCCCAGCCAGGCAGCGCAGCAGGGAGCCGACTGCCTTGGGAGAAGAGGGCGAGAAAAGCCACGCAGAGCCCCTCCAGCTGAGCCGCAGGGTTGGTCCAGCTTAACACTAAATGCTGTTCCCTTTCTCCAGGGGGGAGGATGTTTCATAGCCCCAGAGGCAGCCGATTTCCCTGTTGTGCTCTCCTTTGCGCTCTCCCCCCGCCCTCCCCCTTCTGGGACGCTCGCGCTGCGGCGAGCGGCTCCCTTCCCTCCGTGACACCTAACACCATCCAGCAGCGCTTTCCCGCGGAGCTCAGGCGGGCGCTGCCATTAGCGGCTCACCCGCCAGCCATGCACTC